CTCCGTGGGACGGGAAAACAAGGCCCCAGACGCGGTGCCGGGCGCAGGGCAGCTCTTACCCTGCAGGTAGGCGCGCGTGTCCTGCTTGGGCACTTTCTTCCAGAAGAAGCGCTGCTGGGCGCCGTGCGCGGCTGCCGAGAGGCACTCGAGGACGAACCAGAGCGGGGAGGCGGCCCCGGGCGGCGGGCGCTGCCACGACACGGCCACGCGCCGCGGGCCCTCGCGCCGCACGAGCACCGGGCCCYGGCGCTCTGCGGGCAAGGGAGGCACGGAGGAAACCCGGCACGTGCGCACCGGCACTCACACAGCTCCGCACACATGCGCCTGCACACATATGCACACACACACACACACACATGCACAGGCACACACGCACCTGCACACATATGCACACATGCACACACACATATATTTATGCATGTCTCCAAAGCACTCCAAAACAGTCAGCTGCGCCACATCTCTTCTCCTCGAAACGCTCTACCTGACATTTTCTTTGGCTGACAGAAACCCCGCTATGCTGCTGATAAGCAGAGGAGATTAGAGGGGTTTTTCCACCTCTTTGGGCAGGTTACGCAGGGAGCCGTCACTGTGCACGGGGCTTTCCCCRCCCCTCGCCTGCTAGAGACCTTGTCAAGGACAGGAAAGCGTGTAGGGTGCAGCGGGGAAACCACGGCTTATTCCCAAGCTCCGGGGGCCAACGCCTGACACAAGGTGCTGCCCGAGGATGCACTTTTGTGAGGGCTTTTCCCTTGCATTAACCAATGCATGCAGGAGCTAATGTGTTTTTTCTTTTTCTCCCTCCCTCTATTCGGATAAACCCYGGTGTCCGCCGAGGCCCGAAGGGAGGTTTGCAAACCTGCATCGTGGTGGAGGCTGGCGGCCACAGCAAGGCTGGCGGGGCTGGAGGCGCCGCGCGCGTTGTAGGCGGTGACGGCGAGCGCGCGCACGGCCGGCGGCAGCAGCAGGCGGCAGCCGGGCACGGAGCTGTTGCAGAGGGGCCGCGCGGCGCCCTGGCCCTGCGCCCACACCACGTAGCCCAGGATGGTGCCGCGGGCCACGCGCGGCGGCAGCGGCTGCGGACACCGACACAGCACCCCCGTGGGGACGGGCGCCCTGCACACCCGTCCCCGGGCTTCCCGCGCCGAGGGGCGCAAAAACATCGCGTGGGATGTCARAGCGGGGCCAGCTTTGGTGTGGTGCACCAAAGACCATCCCATCTGCACCCAGGGACCAGCGAGGGTCTCCTCGGCCTCACCTCGATGAGGACGGTCACCTCGCGGCTGCCGTTGGGGTAGAGGGGGCCCAGGCGTCGCCACACGTCGGGTGCTGCCGCAGGGGCTGTTTGGGGAGAAGAGGGGGGAGCAGAGGGGCAGGAGGGCGCTCTCAGTGGGGATGCGGCAGCCGCTGCAGGGCAGCGAGTGCCCCAGCACCGCGAGCATCTCCAGCACCGCGAGCGCCCCAGCACCGCGAGCATCTCCAGCACCGCGAGCATCTCCAGCACCGCGAGCACCTGCAGTGCTCCAGGCTGGGCGCCTCTCCCTGCCCACCTACCCTCCTCCGGGGTGCTGTAGAGGAAGGGGCTGCTCCAGGCGCTCCAGGGGCTGCCGGGGCGGCTCAGGCGGCACCTCGCCTGGAAGGCGTAGCGGGCGCCGCTGTCCAGCGCGTAGCGCACGCGCAGCGCCGCGCTGCCGTCCCATGCGCGCACCTGCAAGGCAAGCGGGCCGCGGCGTGCGGGGCGCGGGGCAAGGGGCTGGCGCGCGCGGGGCCGCGGCCGCCTCACCTGCCACGCGGTGGCGTTGGGCGGCCCGAAGCGCTCCTCGCAGCGCACGCCGTCGTGCCGCGTGCGCCGCTCCCAGCGCAGCAGCGTGCGCGCCGCCTCCGAGCTCTCCACGGCGGCCACGACGGGCGGCGCGGGGACGGCTGCGGGTGAGGGCGCCAGCCGTGGTGAGCCCCGCGTGCTCCCCAACATGCGGCCCAACTGCACGCACGCAGCGTGCCGCAGGAGCGCACCGAGCACGTACCTATGTGCCACAGGTCGAGGSGGCGCGGGGCTGAGCGCGCCGAGCCCAGCGCGTTGCTGGCCTCCATCCAGGCGGTGTAGAGGCTGCCGCCGCGCAGCGCGCCCAGCGGCACGGCGAGCGYCGGCGCCGCCGCGAACACCTCCTCCTGCTGCGTCCGCGCGCTGCAAGCAGAGCCCCGCCAGCGTGAGCGGCCACAGAGACACAGCCCTTCGCCCACAGAGCGACCTAGAAAGGGGTTTTCTCTACACGTGCCGGCATGCCACGTTTGCATTTTCGCTACAGAAAGGGAACTTCCTCACTTCTTGCCGGTTGCAAAATTCGAAACTCAAATGGCCAGCCGCACTTGTCGGACACTGAACCTGGCGGGCTGCAGGGTTTAGTGCCTTGGCCTTGCTCCTGAGCCAGACGCACGGCCGGGTTTGCTGTGTAATCTGGCCAGGAGCGTGGCCGGGCAGGGCCGAGGTCCCGCACGCGCCGGCCCCGAGCTCGCTGGGAGCAGCGGCCCCGCGGCGGCGCTGCAGGAAGCGCAAGTAGGACACGGGGCCGCTTTCCCGGCACCAGAAGTAGAGCAGCGCTTGCCTCGGCGGCGGCCCTGACCGCGCGTCGCCGCTCTCCTCACCTCCGCAGGTGCAGCGCGTAGCGGGTGGGCAGCTGCGTGTCCCTGCCCGCGTCCCACGCGCACTCCAGCCGCTCCGACAGCTCCTGCACGACGCAGCTCAGGTTGCCCGGGCTCTCTGGCGGGTCTGCAAGGAGAGCGGGGCTGCCGTGCTGGCAAAGCCGGCACGTGGACAAGTGCCGCTTGCAGCGTGCCCGGCTCCGCCTCGCTGGGGAGGCTGCAGAGACCCCCCTGCAAAGCTCTGCCTCGTGCACGGGGCAACCCCCCTTGCAGAGCAGCATCCCGGCGCGCCGCGGCGCATCCCGCATGCACTTACAGCCGGCAAAGACTTGCGTGCCGCACACGAGCTGCCGCCGCGGGCTGTTAGGGCAGCGGGCCACGCAGGTGACCACCCAGCTGGGCTGGCGCAGGGGCGGCAGGCGCAGCTGGAAGGTGCTGCTGTTGAGGGCGCGCAGCTCGCCCGCGGCCGGCGTGTAGTTGAGCAGGATGGAGAGGGCGGCCCGCGGGCAGCGCACCCGTGACAGGCAGTTGATGGACACGTTGCAGCCCACGGGCACCACGGGCGCCGGCTCGACCCACACGTGCCCGGAGCACTTGATGGCGGCGAGGCCTGAGRTGACATAGGGGGTGGTTAGTGCGGTGATGTGGAGGGGACACCGGCAAAACGGCGACCCTGTGTGCGGAGACGCACCCCGCATGTGGGAAACGTGGGGCTTCAGCGGGCGCTGAAGCTCAAAGGGCTGCAGGGAAAAACCTGCAGCCCCTGGGGCTGCCACTGCATCCCCATCTCCGTCCCCATCCCTGTCCCCATCTCCGTCCCCATCCCTGTGTCCATGCGCACCCTCTGCCCGCAGACTGGAGCTGGGTGCCCGTGGGAGGGTGCTGCGCTCCCGCGGTGCCGTTGGGATGTGCCTACCTGCGGGCAGGAGGGCGAGCAGCACGTGGAGCAGCAGCGCAGCGGCGGGGCCACCCATGGCCCATGGTCCCTGTGGGAAAAGCCACGGGGCCGTTCACGCGGCAGAGCGCGCGCCCGGCGTGGCCCGCGGCGCCGCAGCCGGGGCCGGGCACCCACAGCGGCTTTTGTGCCTTGCGGGTGCGAATTTCCCGGAGCCGAGCAGCAGCCGGCGGCGCCCGCAGCCGCCGCAGCTTTCGCACGCGCAGCCGGCAGCGCTGCCGGGCGCGGGCGCCTCGGCCACGTCCCTCCGCCTGCAGCGGGGCCCGCGGGACGCGACGCYGGGACCTCCCGCAGAGGCTCCAACCTCCCTGGGCATGGACGGGGCGCGCCGGGACCGGCAGCCGCCCCATCCACATCACCCCTTAGCTCATCCCGGGTCATTAGCGCCCCAGCAAGCACATGGGGACGGCAGAGCTGGGCCCATGGACCCGAGCCTGGCGCAGGCCACGCCGGGGGCGCAGGGGCTGCAGCCTCCCGCGTTCACTCCTCCATGGTCTCCATGCCCCGCTCCCAGCCCGTTCCGGACACCAAGGGGGATCCCGCCAGCCCCGCAGCCGCCACCTCACCTTAAACCCAAGGATCCCCCACGGAAGAGCCCAAAGGAGGCTCTACATTTTCCCTCAGGGCAGCAGGATGGAAAGCAGCCACAGGGGAGCTCTGTGGCAAGAAGAGGCCAGCGTGGGCACGGAGGACCCCCCAACCTCCCCGCCAAGAAAGCGTGGAGCAAGCAGCCAGGAAAGCACAAAGCAAAGGGCCAAGAAAGGGCAAAGCGAGTGGCCAGGAAAGCGCAGGGCGAGGGAAGCGGCAGGTCCGTTACCTCGGGGCGCCGGGGCGCGGGGCGCTGCACGCACGCGGCTGCCTGCGGGGCGGCCGCCAGCGCCGCCCTGACTCACTCCATGGGAAAGCCCGGCGCTCGCCGCGCGCCGCCTCCCTTATCTGGTTCCTGCAGCGCCCTTAGGCATCCGGGCCCGCGGCGCCGCTAGCTGCGGGGCACATCGCTGCGCCGGAGCCCGCGGGACGAGGCTTTGTGCCAAACACGCATAGATTATACATATATATATATATACACACACACACATATATAAATACATRCAAKTGTGCGTATCTATCTATACAAAGCGAGGGCGCCACGAGGAGCTCCTGCCTCCCGTGGGCGCCGGGCCGTACGCTGCTCCTATCTGACCTAGATCAGCTGCCGCTGCCTCGCGCGCCCCGGCGCGCTCCGGGGACCTTCCAGCCCCGCGGTCGCCCCCACTCTCCAGGGCTCGAGCCCTGCTCCGGCTGGTCCCCCTCCAGGGCGGCGGCCAGGGGGCCTGGAGCATCCCCAAGGATGGGGGTGCACCGCGGTCCTGCAAGGCCCTGCAGGAAATGCCCCATATAGCACTCTTGCAACAGCGCCTGCACTGCACCGCCTGCAATGCCYCATGTAACAGCCCCTGCAATGCCCCACATAACACAACAGCCCCTGCACCCCCCGCAATGCTCCCCAGGAAATGCAGCCCCTGCAACGCCCTGTGTAACACAACACGCCCTGTACCTGTACTGCACCGCCTGCAGTGTCCCGTAGGACACCTCCTGCAATGGTCCCTGTGCTGCACCTCCTGCAACACCCTTCGGGAAATGCACCCCCTGCAAAGCCCTCCCTACAGGGCCTCAATGCAACACCCTCCCGCAATGCCCCCTGTATAACACCCCTGCAACACCTCCTCTGCACATTGCCCCTCTGGGGAATGCCCCTTGTAAAACACCCCCACGCTGTCCAACACCCCTTGGGCAACACCCCTTTATAGCGCCCCTATATAACCCCCCTACAATGCCCCTATGAAAACCCGCCCCTGTGCAACCCCCCTGCAAAGTGCCCCCCATGCAATAATCCCTTACAAGGACCCCCCGCAGTGCGCTCCCCCAGCGCACTATCCGCATATAGCGGCCCTACACCGCGCCCCCCGCCCGGGCCACGCGCTGCAGAGCGCGCCCTCACCCCGCCC